GGGTATTCTAAATCAACTTCTCAAATATAGCCTTTGCCATCATCATCACTATAGTTTAATATTTTCTTCTCATCCATCCATGAAAAATACCAATTGAAATTATCAAACGGTAGTTTTTTACTCATAGCCAGACCATAAAAGTTATTAGCGTCTAAATAACTTTTATAACTTGATGGTTTTGACTTGTCATATTGTTCATTCATGTATTTATTATTTGCTTGAGCACATTGAGTCATCCCGCCACGAAGACCTGTTTCAATCATTTCATACATATCTTTATTATGTATTTGTTGAAGTCTAACACCAGTAAGTGATAAAAAGGCAGACCATGAATAATTAGGTAATGTTATGTAATGTGCAGGGTCTAAACCATAATAATTTAAACACATATCCCTAAAGTTTTCAAAAACATCACTAAGCAAATAAACATCCGTCATCAAATATAAATCATGGTATTCACCTAGGTTTTTGATATTGAAATTATCCCATATTACTTTTGCCCTTGTGTGTTGTGTATTTGTTATGCCTTCTTCGTATAATTGACTGTAAAAGTCTTCCATACTTGGTAATTGCGATTCATTGAATTTATCAAATGAATTCATGTAGTCGTAAGGATAAACTCCTTTTTCAAATAAGTCTAAATCGGTTTCATTTCTAATATATGGATTTGCTGATGAAAATCTAAAATTATTCTCCCAGTCATTCCGCTTTTTATATATAGGTTTATGATGTTCATCTTTACCTACTATGTCATATTTATTTAATTTAACTAATTTATCTAAAGATGCCGAGAGAAAAGCCATGCTATCTTTAAACTGTAATGAACCAAATGAAAATGTAATAAACTTTTCGCTATTTTGTGCTATTATATCTATTCTCTTATTTTCATTCAATTCCTTATTTATTTCATTTGCTTTACCTATGATTAAGTGAGAGTCATAGTTTTTTTAAATTCTAAAAAAAATCATGGTATCTTGAAATATCTAAATGAATAATCCAAATTACATTTTTCGTGAGCACAACCTCTATACTCACCAGTAAAATGACAGTGGTCTCTGACTTTTGTATCTTTTGGTTTAAACTTCTTAATACATATTGAACATACAGTAGCTTTTCTAAATTCTGCTTCTTGTTCATCTGTAATATCCAGTGGTTTATTAACATTCATTTTATCAAAAATATCTTGTTTAATTTCTCTTAACTTATTTACAAAGTGGTCTAAACAATCCTCTCCACGGTATAAAAAAGGTTGGCTTGTATTATCAATAGAATTTACAACATTCAACATATAACCGCATGGTTTATGTTCCTGATACGTGCCCTTGATGCCATTATTTGAATTTTCAGTTATACACACTCAAAATCTCCATAAACAACAAATGGACATTTTAATTTTGTATTGTATTTTTTAAATTCAATATAACTACCTTTTTTTGGTAATTTAAAATATTGTGCGTGTGTTGCCATACAACCTTTTTCATAATGTTTTGTTAATAATTCCTTTCTAGTAAAAGCATGAGTACAATAGTGACAATAATGTTTTGGTTGGTCATTTTTGTTTGTTTGCCAGTTCATAAGACGACTTAGATTTTTGATGACTACATAATGATTATTATTATTGTTTTCAATTTTCAACAGGTTTATTTGATGTTTAGCATCTCTTGTTTTAGTCCTGTAATCAATTATAATCTTTTTGTCATTCAAGAAATCATCAATTTCATAAACATTGATTGAAACTAACTTACTATTATTTTCTTCAAACCTTTCAATATCTTTATTACCAGTTGGAAATTTAACGCCTTCCCAGTTCAAAATTTCATCGTTCAATTTGTTGTAATGAAACATTTCTTGAAAATTCGGTTTATTATTTATATTATATACTACACTTTGAACACTATATTTAAAACATTTGTTATCTTTGTTTTTGATATTAGTACATGCCTTTTTTAGTTTAATCCATTCTGGTAAATCTATATAACTACCCGCTCTTGTTGGGTCATATTTGTCATAATGGATGGTTATTGATAATATTTGTTTATTGTAAATTAGACGCTGAACCTTCTAGTTTCTCTATGTTCAGCAAAATTTCTTTGATTGATTTTTTCAATTGCTTCATCCAAATCGGTTTCATTATAAACGTTAGACCTTGTAGCTGGTAAATTATAAACTATCTCTGCATGTCTTATTACTCCTTTATTATCATCATAATAATGATAAAACAAACCTGCTGCCCTTATTTTCAATTTCATAGCTCTATTATTTTTCAAGAAGTTCAAAAGTCTATCTTTTTGGTGGTGTATCATTGATAACGCCTTTTCACCTTGAAAATGTTTATTTTCTAGTTTTATAGAATTAGCATAACCTTTGAATGCAGATTGCTGGTCTGTTATTCTGAATTTGCTTTTTATAGCGTATTTTGTCAAGGCATTTTTCATTCTTTGTTTAAGGTATGTTGAGCGAATTGTTCTTGTAGCATGACTATTATCTTCATTGGTGTTTGTTACTGATTTTAATTTCTTGTTCAAAACATTCGAGAGAGGTTTTTCTTTATTGTATCTAAAATTTCTACCATCTATAGTTGTTGATTTGAATTCCTTGTTTCTTTTTTTTGGAATTTCCGCTTTATCATTATTCAACAGATAATCTATAGCATGTTTCATAATACTATACTATATAAATTTAATGTTTATTTCTTTAAGTGGCTTTTTAGAAAAATATACTTAAAGATTTAAAACCTTAATATAATAAGAGGAAAATTGCACTGTTTGATTATAGTAAGTGTAAATGTTGCAATACTAAAAAGAATGATATTAATCTAACATTGTATAACTTATTACCTGCGAATCTGTGTAATAAAATAAGTGAGTATAATGTATATTGTGACAAATGCTGTATAACTAGAGACCTTGAACCCTTTTTTGTTCAAGAACATAAGGATAAGGGGTATACAAAATTTCAGCTACAATTGAAATTCTTTATGAGATATCACAAACGATTTCCAGTATATTTTTACCATAAAATTGCTAGAAAGTCATTTGAAAAAGAAATTGATGAGTTTTTTAATAATAAAGAGTTGATTAAAAGGTTTGGAGGGAAAAACGCAATTAAACCATATAAAGCATTTGTTAAAAAAATCGAGACATGTTTGAAGCGATTGATTGGTATTTATTGAGTAAAGATAAAATAAACGAGGTCTTGAATGAATTTAGAATAACTAAATATCATGTATGGTATTACTACAACACTAAATATCAAGTATGGCTACTAGTTAATTTGTTTTCTGGGAATACATCTATTCAATAATAGGAAAAGACAATATCAAATATATAGACATTGGTGATATTGATAAATCTGTAGATTACATATTTGAAGACATATTTCCTGACTATTAATTTAACCCAAAATTATTAATTGAAATATAATTATAACATGTAAAATCTTATATGTTATAATTATACTGTACTTATGGTTTGTTTCTTAATTTTTCTTAATGCCTTAAAAAATGACTTAAAGAAATAGTGCCTTAATATAATAAGAGGAAAATGAACGGTGATAAAATCAACAATTAGACCAATAATTATATCAATAAAAAATGCTATGATTGTGGTCACTTCAAAAAAGAGCATATGGAATTGTATAAATTTAATTTGCCTAATGAAATAGTGAATAATATTATTAATTATTCAATGGATGAAGAAGATTTATGTAAAATTTGTAGAAATTGGAGATATTATCTAGAATTAATCAAATGTGTTGTGGGAATAGAAAAGAATACATAATAGAAATGTAGAAGATGAGATTTTAATATTTCTAACTGTAAATAAATTACCACCTTTACAAATATGTTAAACAGTTTCTTAAAATCAGTAAGAAAATATGAAATGATTGATGATATATTATGGGAGTTGGGTTATAGTCAAAAGAAAGGAGAAGATGTTAAAGAAAATATCAAATTATTTATTGAAAGTAAAAAGTTTAATGTTCAAAATACATTGAGAGATATGAATATTATTTTTAAAATGATGTATGAAAGAAGTAAGACAAATCAATTAAATTATTATCCTGTACTGAAATTATAATCATACTATAATAATAACATGTAAAATCTTATATGTTATAGTTATACTGAACTTATGGTTTGTAAAGATTGAAATATTTTAATTCTCCTTAATTTGGTTATCTCTTTCAAAGTGCATTGTTTTGACATGGTATGCTCTTTTGATTTTTTCGTGCTTTGGCTGTTTGTATTTTACTTTGTTTGATACTCTTCTGATATTTTTTTATTGGTATACTGCTTTGAAATTTGTTAGTGTGTGTTTTTGAGTTTGTGTTCTTTGATGGTTTTTATTTTTGCTGTTTTGTTGGTATGCTTGTTTGAATTGTTTAATGTTGTATGCTTTGATTAAATATTTTGTTGGGGGTTGTTCTGGTTTTTGAGTTGGTTGGTGGTTCTTATCTTGTTTTCTGTGGATTGTGTGTATTTTTTTGTATGCTGTTTGATTTTTTGGGTTTGATTTTAGAAATGCCCATTTGCCTATTTTTTGGGGGGAGGGGGGTTCTAGGAATCCAGAGACCCAGAGATTCAGAGATCCAGAAATCCAGAAATCCAGAAATCCAGAAATCCAGCCGACGTAGAAACCAGCCCCAAGAGCCGCCCCAAGGAACATATATATGTATATATGTATATATATATATACATAATCATATTCACATTAAACTTATAGAAAGCATATCAACAAAAGCAACACAGAACACACCGCCCCCATGCTGAAAGCATGGTCCATTCTGGACCAGGCATGGGGTCGGCGGATTCACTGTTAGTGGGTGGAGGGCCCAAGCGCGCGGAGTGGGGCCTGGCGTTTGGGAGGCAGGGCGGTGGTGCTCGGAGTTGTGGAAAAGAGGATGTTGGGCCGGTTTCGAGGGAAAACGGGGACCCGCCAGCACTTCGTTGAGGTCCAATCCCACCTCTGACCCGGCAGAACCTTTGTCGCGACACCGAGGCTTTCCTGCTTCCGCCCTTTGCGAGCTTCCTCGGCACTCGGCCGGGCTACGGGCCCAACATGCGAGAACCTCAGAGTTTGTCGGATCCGGAGACGGTTTTCCACCCCGGAAAATCAGCTACCACAAAAGGGCCTGGAGGTGTGGCAGCGCTCCAAGATTTGTCTCGGCAGCCTTTGAGTTGTCAGGATGTAGGGTTACCCGCTTTCCAAAAGAAAGTAAAAGGAAACCAGCTCCTTTTACGATCTCCCTATTTTTGGAGTCACCCGCTTGTAGGGTACGCAAGCGGCGACATTTAGTACAAAACCTGGCGAGAGGAAACCTTGATTTGCCAATCGCGGTGACAAACCAATTTCAGTCTTACTGACCGTGTCTTTGTAGAGGATTCCCCAAACCGGATTTCGGGTTTCCTTTTGGTTTCCCTTTAAAAACCTCAACAACAGGGGTGCCAACTCAAAAAGGGAGGCTAGGTACCCATTGGAATCACCTGACGGCATAGGTTGGTCATGGCGCCCACCCGGGAGCTCGCCTGCCAGATCCAGCCCGGGGCCCCAGAAGAGGTGCGGAGCGTTTTGGGCAGACCATTTTGGCGGCGAACAATCAGCTTGGATTTGTTTGGCCCATCGACTCAGGAAGTGAGTTGTAGCTGCTTGGGTTGACATAAAGTCACTCGCTGATGCACTTACTGTGAGGCAAACGCTGGGCCCAAAGCTTTCTTGCAACCCCAGCAGGATGGGCCACTCAGTTCCCCAAATCCTAGACATTTATCAGGAATTGAGTAGCTTAGCCAGCTTGCCATCCTGTTCGTGTGGATGGGGGTCTGCGGACGGCAGCTCGTTTGTTGGTTGAGTTTGCAATCAGTGCAACGTTTGCACAGCTTGTTGTTTGGCTATGATTCTCAATAGAGAACACCTTCAGCCACTGCTTGAGCCTAAGTCCACATTCGTACCACCTAAATCCCCACCTAAACAGTGTGCAAAGGGTCCAAATCAACAATTCACACCCATGTGCTGGTTCTCTCGGTCAGGTTGGAGGCCGAGCGCTTCGGCCGACGAGTGGGCCACTTGGCAGAGCTTCAGCCGGTTTCGGCGGGAGAGCGGGCCGGCCGGTTTTGGGCGGATGCGGGAGGCCCGCATGGGCAAAAGGCGCGCCAGCCGATGGATTCCCTGGGCCAAGCGCAGGGTTTTGAATGAGCATCGATAGACCCCCGCGGGATTTGTGGGTGCTGCATATTGTTTGGGGGGGAATCCCCTCCACCCCCATCCGTGGGATATGTGTGGTTTCCCGTGTTCCCTTTGGTTGGCCACGTGTGGCTTTCAGACGTGTTTGGTTGCAATTCGGGCGCACCCGACTCGCCACAAAAGAGGTGGCAATCCAACTAGTCAAAAGGGCGCAGAACCCCTTTTCAGGTCCCGTTGAGTGCGCTTTGCTAACCCCACCTGACCATAGGCTGGCAGTAGGGAGTTTTGGGCTTGGGGCTAACCTGGGACAACAATGTATATATATATATATACATATACATAGAAAGCCTGGGTGTAAACAAATCCTCTACCTATAAATATCCATGAAAGCAACTACCTTGGATCTTCCAACTCAGGAAGCAGGATCGATCGACTGTTGGGCCGCAAGTTGGATGTTCCACCTGGCAAGACAAGCGCTCCTCTTTGGGTATACCTAAAAGATGAAGTCGCCCGGGCGTGTCCTTGCTTTGACGGTTCCCTTTTGGGATTGGTTTAAAGGGACAGCGCAGGGAAACTCCCCCCCTTGGGAACCCCGATTTTTTGAGACGAATACACACTGAAAGACTGGGACTGCCGGACCCGTCTTGCCTTTGGCTTAAATCTGGCGGGAGCTACTTGCCGATCCGTTCAAAGTCTAGGATTGGACCTCAAGCGGCCCTTATAGACTGTCGGATCCGTGAATCTGACACCCTCAATGATTAAAGGGAGACTTGATCCAAACTTGTTGATGGGAGGAGGGGGATTTTTGATCCCTCGATTTCAACACTCGCCACCGATTTGGCACTTTGCAGTCGGACAAGATCAATTGACCGCGCTTGGTCCCCGCCCCTCTTTGAAACAAAAAAGGGGGGGGGCGGACCGTCCTTTCCAAATCCATTTCTCCACTTTCCGGAGCCCTCCCCTGCCCACGGCCTTTCCCTCGCGCGCCTCGCGCGCCTCGCGCGCGCTTCGATGGCGCGAGGCGTGTACTCGGTGTGCGTCTACGGGGGCGCCCCGCGGGGCCCGCAGCTCCGAGAGCTGCGCTCGGGGGCGCACCTGGTGGTGGGCACCCCTGGGCGGCTCAATGACTACCTGGAGGCTCGGAGGAGTTCGGGGATGGCACTCAAGGCAGCCAGGCAACAAGCCAAGCCGGGGATGAGAAAGCTAGGGGGATGGTCAATGCCTTGAAACGTGTTTTTGGTTGAATTGCCGTGCTGAGCGGTTTTTTGGACGTCGTGGGCTATGGCGCGAAAAAAAAGGAGGAGAGCTTGTGTATGGGTGAGGTGTGGAGGAGGCACCCAGCAAGAAGTCAACCCGACCCCTCGGCACGTCCAGTTGCCCACCCCAAGTCAAAAACCCAAGCGACCTGAAACCCGAGCGAAAGCCAGCCCTTGAACGCCTACAAGGCCCTAAGATCCTGGGCAGCCCACCTTGCAGGCAAGCTCTCAGGTGACAGTAGGACCCGTATCAAACCTTGAACGGTTCTCAAAATCCTTCTCAGCAGTGCTGGGGGGTGGGTTGGGGGGGTTGGGGGGGTTGGGGGTGTTTGGCTTTCTCCCTACAAACTGCTTTGAGAGGTTCGGTTTTGTGTATTGGTCGGTTGCTTGCTTTTGCTTGCTCGAGTCTGTGGCTGGTTAGTGGGAGGACACCCTTGATGTTTTCCTAGCGGTGCCTGGGGCGGTGTCTGGGCCGATGGGAGGTGTGCTGCAAAGTAGGATTGGGATTTGCGCTTACATGTTTGAGGGGGGGTTCTCCGGGGCTTCCTAACTGCTTGCTTCAGCACATATGCAGGCAGGTGGTTGACTGTGTCAGGGGCTGCCGCCTGGCAGCAAGCCATCATTTGTTTCCAACACACCAGAAAAAAAGCAACATGCTGGCATGGAGATTCGTGACTATGCACAAAAAAAAGAGCCTTCCAGTTCACCTTAGGAATGCAACCCAGCTAAGAAGCCTGGATTCATAAACCCCTGGCTGATTTTGAGAGATGGGGATGTCCGCACGTGGGGATTTCTCACTTGAGTCACAATCAAACTTTGGTACTCACAGGTTTTCAGACCCCCCCCAGCCCCGAACCCTCCCTCCCGCCTCCCCTGGTAATTGGGGGGTCAGGGATGGTTCTGGGTACACCTTGTCACCCCCCACCCGTACCAACCCTCCCTCCCTCCCCTCCCCCAACCCCCCCCAGCCCCCCTAAATAGGACGGGTTCTTCTTAGATCCAATCGGTGAGAGCCCTTAGCTTCCCATCAGGGCGGGGAGCTGCAGCTGGACATGTGCAAGTACCTCGTCTTGGACGAGGCGAGTTTCGTTCTTTTTTGGTTTCGAGGCGAGGTGGGTCTGACCTTTGGAGGCTCAGCACCCGCTTTTGGTGGTCTTTAAAGGCAAACCAAAAGGAACACCACCCCCTTTTGGTGGTTCCGAAGGGAAACCAGAAGGAACACCAAAATCCATTTTGGGGTCCACAAAAAGAAGCACCTCGTTCGCGCCTTCACCTTTCCTTCGCCTGGGAGGTCGGCCTGTGAGCAATGACCCGCCCAAATGTAAGGTTTGGGGAAGCACCGCATGGGTCCCCATTCAAATCGATGCGCTGGACGAGCGCAACAAGTGCTCCTGCCATCCCTGCAAGCTCTTGAGATATGCCGACCAACCCACGTATTTGCTTAATGCCTGCGCATCAAGCTCGCTGCGCTAGACAGCGCTGTTGTTGCTGGCACGTTGGATCGACCACCAACCCGTGTGCCGAAACACAATCGTCTTGTGTACGCGTAGAGGCCACAATCGAAGCCAAGCAATGTCGTCTCCAATGATCGACGCTGTGTGGACGCAGCGGATCTGATCGTCTACGCCCTGAGCATGCAAGCGCGCACACAAAAGACACCAACACAGGCAAAGAAACTCATAGTCGCACAATCACACGCACAAAGGTAAAGCACAAGAAACAGGCACAAGTGCATAAGATCAAGACATAGTGACAAGCACACACACACAAACACCAGGTACACGCACAAGCACAGACGCAGACTGCCACGCAGCACAGCACATACACACACACACAACGGACATCCAACACAAACACAGCACAAAGACTACACACAGAACACAAACACAACAAAACAAGACAATGTACACCCTACACACGCACACGCACCACGCCACACCACACAACACAACATAATATCAGAAACATAAACAGAAACACAAAATGGCACAGCGCAGTCACACACGCTTACACTTGCACAATGACGCCACGCATTCCGAAACGTTGGAACATATACACGAGTTGACTTGGTCTATGCGTATCCTCAAACCTTGGAAGCTGACACAATCTGGGGTGTTTCCCACCATTTAAACCGATGGTCATTGCTTCGGGTTTCCGGTTTCCCTTTGAAGCGCTGGGTCCGGAATGATGTTCATACCCTGCAACCTAACCTAACCAAACCTAACCTAAACCAACCTAACCCCACCTACCTACCTAGCCCAACGTAACCTAACCTAACCCAACCGAACCCAACCTAACACCACCTACCTACCTAACTTAACCTATGCACCTAATGACACCGCTGTCCTTCGGCAGCCCGCTCGTGGCCTTGCTCGCGCAGCTTGCTCGCTCGCAGGCCGATCGCATGCTGGATATGGGCTTCGAGCCGCAGAGCCTTTGGTGGAAAGAAATCCAGTCGGAAAAGGGGGTGGATCATGGTTTCACAGCTGGACGGAACGTGTGCATAATGTATATATATATAGAAAGTATAAACATGTATGTAAGTGTAGTATGTATGTCTATATGTCTACACAGCTGGATGGTAAATACGTAAGAGCATGTGTACACATGTATATGCATACAGTGGATGGATAATTTCCTGCACCAGTTTGTTGGCGGTTTATCTAAGTATCTACAGGGTTTCACCTATCCCTAGTGGTGCAGGATTTTGTGCACCCACAGTATGTATACACTTTTACCTCATATTACGTCCATGGTCACTCATGACCTTTGGCTTTGCGAGTGCAGCTTGACATTTGGTTTGAGCGCATCCCGTGTGTGGCTGGCTGGCATTGTGATCGTTGGATCATTTTTTTCCCAGACACAGCTCACAGGGGCGCAGACCAGGAGGACACCGACCATGTGAACACCGCCGTGAAAGCCAAGATACTAAGCATGGCATGGACGCAGCAGGTGGCAGATGGGGAGGGGAGGGCTGAGGGGAATTGCAATGATTCTTCAAATGCGCCAAGGATTGCTTGTCAGACTGGTTGCCTCCTCTTGCTATGGTCGTACTGTGTTGAACATTGTGTGGAATCCCCACCCCTCTGCAGGCGAATGTCCGCCCCTTTTCACCCAACCCGTTCAGCTGATCCGAGGATCCGCACGCTCATCAAGGCCGTCCACCGGGAGCGACAGACCATGATGTTCAGCTCTTGCCTCAGCCGAAGGTTGAGTGGAGAGGAGAGATGGCCTGCGAAAGTGGCAATTCGACCTCAGCCACGTCCCCCTCAGACAGTTCGGCCGGGTTGGCCAAAAAAAGGGCGGAACCCCAAAGTTGGGTTGAACCCCAAGGTCTCAACCCCCAACGGCCGGGTTCGGCAGATGGAGGGTCAGTGTCCGTCTTTCAATTTGGAGTGACTGTGCCCATTTCGCACCCAGAGAATCTTGGGTGGGAATTCCCGTCCCACGTTCTCAGCTTTGTCTAGGCGTACCAAGCCACCGAAATGGTAGACAAGGTCGGAGACAGTCCCAAATGTTTGTGGCAAGTGTTTTTTATACATTTTTTCAGACCCTTTCATCAATGCCAGGTTTGGTTTTGATGCGGACTCTGGTAATGTGTCCTGGTGAAGAGTTCAGATGCATTTGCCTCAAAAAGCGGGTACCCCCAGAATGATTGGACCCACACGGGGTTCAGGGTTTTAATCGAAGCTTTCTCGTTGTCGCAATGTGGCCGCAACACACCTTGCGTAAATGACCATTTTTCATATCCCCCATTCTGAGCTCTGAACAAGCAAGGAATGCCCATGTTTTTCCTGCAAATTAACATGGAGCCACAACACGAAATGGATGCGTCTGTGTTTGAGACTACCCTTTTCGGACTTAGTTTCAAGGAGCACCCTACGGGAAATCACAATGGTTGAAGGCCTTTTGTTAGGACACGTGGGTGTGTCAAATAGGGGGCGTGTCTCTCAAGCTGGTTTTCCATTTGGTTTCCTTTTGCACCAATGGAAGGGTACCGCAAAGTCCGATTGGACAACCGCGCAAGAATCATGCAAAGTATAAACTGATCCCCGAAGCCCTCACTTTTCTTCCCGGAGTCACCCTAAAAAAGACCAGAAGGGGTGCTCACAGGGATGTAGTTTTACAGCTCCAATACTTGCAACACACTGTAAATACCATGCTTGTTTGCATGTGAACCCGGCCCCCTGAAAAACACAAGTTCCCAAGGTAGCGTTTTGATTGGCGTAACCCGGCCCTCTAAAAACACCAGCCACCAACATGGGCGCTTTCCTTCCGTGTTATCTGGGGGGGGTGCGGGGTGCGGCTATCCGTGAGGTGCCACCTGGCCCCGGGAGGTCAGGAATCTCGCGGCCGACTACTTGCACCGGCCAGCCAGGGGCTCGGGGCGCGGGTCACGGGAGACGGAAATCACCGGGGCGAACTCTTGGATGCGCCGGCCTTGGGAACGTTGGCAAAAACCCAAACCGTCCGAAGAGGTGTTGAGGAAAATGCGGGGTTTCAAGGGTCGCGGAGACTTTGGCTGTTTAGGGCAGAGTTAAATTGAAAGCAAGGATACTAAGAGGCCCTTCAAGACCCTGGCAAAACTCTAGAAGAACCTTCAAGAGTCTGTTCCCCAGACAAGAGCCGCGGCTGGTTTTCACTTTGTTTTTCCTTCGAACACCTCCCCCACCATGTACAAGCTCCAAAAAGAAAACCCCCCAAAAAACGCAGTGGGCATCCAGCAGGAAGGACAAGCACCAGCCAATCGGCCGCGAGCATCTTTCGTTTGGCACTTCGGATTTCAGGTCTACATTCAGATCGGCTCCCATGAGGCGAAGCGAGCGAAAAGGGGGGGGCGCAGGCCATGCGCGAAACGGGCCTGGAAACAGAAGGAGATCCACAACCCCCTGTTAAACTTTTCTTTTTCAAATTAGGAGGGCGTCTCCTGTTCTGGAGGGGAGCCTGTCCTTCCAGGAACACTTTACTAAGAATCCAGCAGGTTGATTAATCCGGGTCATTGCTCCGGGATTCCCTTGTCCCGGTGGCTGAATTCTGATGCTGGTGCCGATACATTGGTCCCCAAAACGGGGCATTGGATCCCGGATGTGGCGATCGGGCCAGGAACATTTGTTTAGTATTGCTTAATTCCTTCAGATATGCAGGCCAATGACAAGTGTTTCCTTTGCTTGGTAGAGATCAAATTTGTTTGCTAGGCATAAACAAGTTTAGCAACAAGTTGTGGACAGTTATTTTTGTCTTTAAAGGATTGAACACATGTCCGCGCAAGCAAACAACTAGGAACTGGCTCATTTCGTCCGCCGGGCCTTGAAGGACATTGTGTCGCCCTCGAATCGTCAGGCGTGTTCATGTCATTTTGCAAATGCACAACTCGCACCAAAACGATAAAGTTCTCGGAATTCTATTTTTTTGTGGTCAGCATGACGTTTGGGAGCACTGCGGAGCAGGCAGTTGGCAGGAAAGACCTGTGCCCTTCCGGGGGACTCCGTCCAGCAAGAAAGGTCAAGGGCAATATTGGCCACTCCGCAGCAGAGTTTTTTTTTTAGGGACGCCTTTTTTCCCTTTGGTTTCCTTTAAAACCCACCAAAAGGGTACAAGCTCCAACCAAGACATACCCACTCAGCCCTCGGAGTATCAGGGGAACTGAGTGCCCAGCCGGTGATTTCAAGCCATGGGAAGCCCAACGCGTCCTGACTTAACGTCGGTCTTGCCGGTTTGCCAAAGGTGTCCTAGAGCACCCTGCAACGAACCACAGGGTTTCTGAGTGAGTGTCCTGGTACGGAGGATGTGCTGTGCCACATCTTGCAAATAGGGAAGAAGGGAAACCCGGAATTTCCCGTACAATACCCGGGTTCTGTTGGATGTGGGTAGTCCACTTGCAATATTCAGATGGTCCATGAGTTAGCTGAGTAATTAGTTAGTATCCCCCAGTTCACCCCCACTTAGCCCTGAGCAAAGCCCCAGTCAGAAGTACCCCATTCCGGGCGAACCATCGAGACAACTCCCAGCAGTTGGTCGCATCCCTCACTACCTGTGCACCCGCAGGCCACCGCGAACAAGGACATCACCCAGGAGGTGGTGATCTGCAATGGTCAGCGGGAGAAGCAAGAAAACCTCAACGTGGCCAAGCTGCGAAAAGAGTCCTTTGCAGTTTTCTGAAGGAACGCTTTTTTTTGTGTCTGTGTGTCTGTTGTTTTTCCAAGGAAGACCGTCGTGTTTTTCGGTTTTTATATTTTGAGACATGCCCATATGCCCATGGAGGTTTCCAGCGTTCTCTTTGGAGGTTTTGCACGTGAAGCCCTGGGCCGGCGGCTTTGGGTTCGTGTACATGCAGACATATGGATGTCAAAATAGAGGGACCCTAGCAATGGTTGTTTTCCTCTTGATTTCCCTTTAAACCAACCCGAAAAGAGGCACGCTCACAAACACACACAGACCTACACTATATGTGTAACTATATATACATATATTGTTTGAAAACAGCTGGTTTGGCTTACTTGAAGTTTTGTTTTTAGGCCGCCTTCTATCTTTCCAAACGGGCCCCTAGCGGGCCCCTTTTGTTGGCACCTTGTCCATTTTTTCCTACTCTGTTCCCCAATACTGGGCAAGAGGTGCCCGGAAGTTCAGAGTGGACATGGCCTCTGCGTCCGAGTCTTCACTGGGGCCACATTTGGGTGCCCCTTCTTTTAGATGGTACCCATGTTTGATTTTTTTACAGGAAAAACAAAAGGACAACCAACATTTTGGGGGTCGGGCCCCCAAAAGAAACCACAATGCACACTACCGCAGTGCAATATAATACATTGAGGGACGCACGTTGTTGATCGTGATGTTTTGATTTGGCGTTTTCATCATGAGCACTGTTTGCCCTTGAGCCCAACCCTTCCCTCATTTTGGTGTACTCATCCTCTTTACTTGCCCACATCTACCGGGACTTGTGCCATCCCGCTAGATTTAAAGTGATGGGTCCCTCTTAGACAGGACGCTCCCCGAATTCAAATCAACCAGGGTGTTATCAATCAACTGGTGTGTAGTACTTTTCGCAGCTCCATTGTTGTCTTCGTCCACACCCAATGCTCTCCGCGCGGTTTTCCTCGAGTTTCGCCCAGGAAGTTTTGCAGAGCGTGGAGAAATCTGCGGCTCGGTGGGAAGTGAGACATAGTCAAAGCCCGGGTAGATGAAGGTTAGCAAGAGATAGCCCCAGCCATACATAGGTGAGGCCAGCTTTCATATAACTCTTTGCATTGGTTTGGGTCGACGTTCTTAGTACAGGTTTCATCCATCCTAGGTGGTGCAGGATGCAGTCCATACGGGTGGATTGGGAATGGTCCAAAATCAAACCACATGAGGGCGGGCCTTTACAATCCCAGTTTTGTTTCTTGCATTCTCTCTGCTAGGGTTTTAGCAAACCAGTGATTGATTCTCGACCCCCGTGTGGGCCGTTTTTGTCATCAGGGCCGATCTGAGCACAGTATGTTTTGAACGCGCATTTCCCGTGGTTGAACCCCCACCTTTTGGTCGCCAATTCGCCTTCGGGGTGATATTAGGGCCAATTAGGAACCATGAGCCACGGGCTGAGTTTGGAGCAAAGCGGAAGACGAGACTCACGACAACCAACTGCGGCAACACCACATTCCTTTCGCCCATTGAGGCCTCAAGGGTCACAGGTGTGGCAACTCGGTTTTCCAGAGCCTTGGATACAACACCTGAATGATATGTGGCATGCGAAGCACTCTTGTGGGTGTCCGGTCAGTTTTTGTTCAGTCTTGCCTTTCCGATCATTACCAACGACTGCCAGACCGGCCGAGGATCGTGTCATTGTCTTCACCAACACGAAAAAGCTGCTTGGCGGAGCTGAGGTATGTAGGTTTTCAGCATGGCGCAGACGGCTGATACACCAACTGACGGCATAGGAATTTAGCAAAGGGAGGAATTTCAAGGGTGCACTGTTGGCATGTGGTCCATTCCCATGTTTAGCGTGCGTTTCATGCAGACACGACAAGGCAACGAAGCGTGGTGCATGCTCAAAGACAAGACACGAAAGACTTCCAGCCTTTTGTTTGCATTCGCCAGGTAGTTGCCAGTCCGTTTGTGTGTGACATGTTTGAGGCTTCCTATTTAATTGGGGGTCTCTTCAAAGGGAAACCAATCGCAAAATCCGAAGGAAGTCCGTCATGAAGAGAGCGGGTCACTTTTCGGAGGAGTGGCGATCCGGAGGTCGCTGCCAATTTCAATTTCGTTATTCGGGATTTAATCACATTTCGGAATTAAATCACATTTTCGGGATTCGGGATTCGGGATTCGGGATTCGGGCCTCGAATGACATTTTCGGGATTCGGGATTCGGGATTCGGGCCTCGAATCACATTTTCGGGATTCGGGATTCGGGCCTCGAATCACATTTTCGGGATTCGGGATTCGGGATTCGGGCCTCGAATCACATTTTCGGGATTCGGGATTCGGGCCTCGAATCACATTTTCGGGATTCGGGATTCGGGATTCGGGCCTCGAATCACATTTTTGGGATTCGGAGCGCAGGCTCCCCATGATAGAACACGACTGAACAAGAACGACGAAAAACGTCGGGCTTCGCCAAACATAGGCGGGGGGTTGGGGGGGGCTGCGCCCCAATGATAGAACAAGACTGAACAAGAACGACAAAAAATGTCGGGCTTCGTCAATCATAGGCGGGGGTTGGGGGGGGCTGCGCCGCCGCCCGTGATAGAACACGACTGAACAAGAACGACGCAAAGCGTCGGGCTTTGCCAATCATAGGCGGGGGGGTTGGGGGGGGCCCTCCCCATGATAGAACGCGACTGAACAAGAACGACGAAAAACGTCGGGATTCGGGATTCGGGACTGGGCTGGACCCATCCTCAGATTCAGGATTCGGGAGTCGGGATTCGGGACTCGAATTACATTTTCGGGATTCGGGATTCGGGGTTCGGAATTCGGGACTGGGATGGCCCCACCCTCAGATTTGGGATTCGGGATTCGGGATTCGGGACTGGGATGGCCCCATCCTCAGATTCGGGATTCGGGATTCGGGATTCGGGATTCGAGATTCGCGATTCGGGATTCGGGACTGGGAAGGCCCCATCCTCGGATCCGGGATTCGGGATTCGGGATTTGGGATTCGGGACACATTTTCCGAATTCGGGACTCGAATCACATTTTCGGGATTCTTCGGGACTGTCGGGATTCGGCATTTGGCACTCGAATCACATTTTCGGGACCGGACGGGATACGGGACTGGGATGGCCCCATCCTCAGATTCGGGATGCGGGATTCGGGATTCGGGATGCGGGACTGGGATGGCCCCATCCTCAGATTCGGGATTCGGGATTCGGGATTCGGGATTCGTTTGCCTTTGAAGGCCGGGCCTCAGCGCCCAGCAGCCCGGTGGCGCCCAGACAAGCATACGTGAAGCGGGTCCTGGTGGTGCTGTCTCCTGAGCAGCGAGACCACAAAGATCCCTTGATCACTCTTCCTGATTTGGTTGATGAACGCGGCTTCACGCTCCTGCCTGAGCTCAGCTCTATCCGGCCGACAAAACACGGGGTCAGCATGTGGCATTTCTTGCTTAGTGTGCACTCGGATCGCATCCCTTCCATTTTGGGGCTGCCTTCGGGGGACGCCTACCGCGGTCGCCTGGCCCCACGCACGAATTTCATTGAACATGCTAGGAACATTGAGCAGGCTCTTGACCTGCTTGCCAAAGCTCTGCGCACCCCACTGGGTTACACCTGGACCAGCTTTCGGCACCTTGTGAGGGCCCCTCCCGGCCGAGTGGGCCGACCTGCAACTCATGGTCCGTCCCCTTGAGACGTCTTGGCAGGGCGGCAACGAGCAGGGCTGGCACCGGCTCCTGCAGTGTGGCCCAACATACTTGCTTGCAGTGCTGCGCTTAAGTGTGGGCCCTGACGGCCATTTCCTTAGTGTCCTCCTTGGCATTTATCATGCCTTGGCCACCCAACGAGTCACGTTCGGTATTCAAGGGCTCTTTGGCACCGGCAAAACGTGCTGTGGCAGTGCGGTCCTGATTATGCTTGCCAGGCTACTCGGTCTGAAAGCCCTGTTTGTTGCTGAGCCAAACGGAGGAGGTGTGCCAGCAATTCCCCAGGCTGCTAGGTTGGGACCACGATCAGGTCACTGACCTCGATGTGGCCTTTGAAACACGATCTCAGTTCTTGCGGACCACTGATTCCTGTTGTGTAGCCATCACATTGGGGTCCTTGCTGCATGAAATCGGACGGTATGGCCCGGTGTCCAGTTTCCTCGGGTGCGTCGATCTTCTGGCCAGGCGGCCTATGTGGCGGTTCATGGTGCAGTGCCCCGCTCTGCCCTGACCGTCGCATTAGGCCCCATCCTCGGATCCGGGATTCGGGATTCGGGATTTGGGATTCGGGACACATTTTCCGACTCGAATCACATTTTCGGGATTCTTCGGGACTGTCGGGATTCGGCATTTGGCACTCGAATCACATTTTCGGGACCGGACGGGATACGGGACTGGGATGGCCCCATCCTCAGATTCGGGATGCGGGATTCGGGATTCGGGATTCGGGACTGGGAAGGCCTCATGCTCAGATTCGGGATTCGGGATTCGGGACTCGAATCACATTTTCGGGATTCGGGATTCGGGATTCGGGACTGGGAAGGCCCCATCCTCGGATCCGCGATTCGGGATTCGGGATTCGGGATTCGCGCGCGACTCACATTCTCGACCAGCTTCTCCGGATCACGTCTGTTTCGGAGATGGGAGTCGGAGCTGAGGGGCCGAAAGTAGTGTTGTGTCCAAACTGAACATAAACAAATGAGAGCCCCTTAAAGAGGCTTCCTTTTGGTTCCCTGTGCGCTTAAGCATTGTTCGCAAACATTTGCATGGGAATAGAAGGGAGTCATCTGAGTCCAGCCGAACGCCTCTGGATTTCGACTCCCCAGATCTGGTCGATGCTGGACTTGGGGCTATTTCATATTCTGTCTTACTGTGGATGGTTGCGAAATCCGTGCGCACCACTTTAAAGCTATGGTTGAAATCACTGGTTGTTGGCATTTACAGGGGGAATCATCATTCCATGGTTTCTCAGGTATGATTTCGTCCATCCACAGTATGTTTCTCGTTGTTTTTTGTTGTTACTGTACCATTTGCTCCTGGGACCTTCTTTCAGCTGCCTTTTGTTGGAGGGTTGGTCAGTTGGCGAGTCTGCGACATGATCACACTGGCATAAACGATGGGGATGTGATGGGAGGCGTCCCTTCCCTGACCAAGCACTATGAGAGGCCCACGAAGACTAGCTCCCATTGGTTTCAAGAGGAGGGGCTTCAAGTGTCCGAATCAATCCTAAACTACCTGCTTGAGTCGACTCTCTGGCCAATCTGATTTTCGTTCTTCGGACTCCCTTTAAGCCAACGTGAAATACCCGGAAAGCAGAACACTCCACTCCCCGAGCCTCCAGCCATCTGTCGACCGCAGGCTATGTGAGTCCCTCGCCTCCGATCTTTGGCACAGCCGCGTCCACTGCGTCACCATCCACGGTGATAAGGAGACGCCGGGAGGAAGGTGGCGCTGGGTGTGCCAACTTTTGTTAGGATTTGAAGGCCAGGCGTCGGTGTTTAAATTCAAAATGTATATATATATATATGTATATATATATATGTATATATATATGTATATATATATATATGAGCAACTTCGATGAATTTCTTATGATTTAATTTGATATGAAATCATTTGAAATCATTCGAATTCAATGCCCCTAAACAAAATACACCAGCATAGACCCCAGATGGCGAAAAACTGCACCTGCGCCAGCACCCCAAACTGCATGCCTCGTAGCACCCTGCCGTCAATGTCGCAAAAATGCGCCCGCACCGTCACCAGAACCTTAAACAACACCCCAAGCAGCACCCCAAACTGCATGCCCCCTAGCACCGGCCGTCAATCTCGCAAAACGCCCGCACTGCCACCAGCACCCCGAAACAACACATGCACCAGCGCCCCAAACACCCCAAACTACCTAGCCATCAATCTCGCAAATCACTTTCCCCTCTTTATTAGAAGTTAGAACCCCTGTAGGGGACCTCTCGAGGAGCAGCGGGACCGCGACCAGGCGCTGAATAGCTTCAAGACGGGGCGCACGCCGGTGATGCTGGCCACCGACGTGGCAGCCGGGTGCCCATTGCTTTGCTAAATCGGAAGGCGGCGGCGGATTTCTTTGGTTTTTCTTGGTGGTGTCTCTCTCTTGGTTCCCCTGGTTTCCCTCAGATTTCTTTCTTTGGGTGTCCCTTGTTGCTTCTTTTTTCAGATACGAAGGAAGCCCATTCAAAGTGGTAGAGCAGCCATGCTGGCGGTCGTTTGGTTGTCCCTTGCTGGTTCTTGGGGAACAATTGCTAATGTGCTTTTTTTGGTTGGGCTTTCTTGCAAAGGGAAGACTCTCGGAGAGTCTGCCTCCCGGTTGAACAGTAACAGCATTTTAAGCAGCGCAGCATAACAGCTTGGAATCATCACCTCTGCCACAGAGTTGATGTTTTATCGGCTGAAACACGGCGGTTCTTTTTTTGAG